ACTCTGGAAAAGTTTTCCAACTGACTTTAAATAGGAACACTGGGATCACCAGCTCTAAAGACTTGAATATTTTAATTCCGGAGTAGATGGATACCACCCAGACCCTGGAAAAAAACATGGACGATTACGACATTCACAACACGAAGCTCAGTCGAACGCAGGGCTGAGAAAGTTCCTACTTTCTTCAAATATGAAAAACTGGCATTCCTACAAAAAAGTTAATACCTAACTCTAAAGGCTTAGAGAATACTCATTTGAAATAAGGACGAATCTTTTGTTTTTTTTCTTGATATATATATATATGAAACGTGCAGACCCACTGGAAACTTCCCTATAAATCAATAGGTGGTTACGGTCTTTACAACTCAAAGCTTAGTCTAGCGCAGGTTTCGCCCCGAATGGGATTCTGGATACTCAGAAATTTGATGAGTTGGCTGTCGAGGCTTTCTTCGGTTTGTGACGATAATTTTACTCACTGCTTTTCTATTTATTTATTTCTGGAAGACACCAGAGTAGTTTTACACCGCCTTGTGCATTAATGAACGCTTGTGATCTTCGCGACATTAAACTGCGTTCAACACAGGGCTGGGTTCTACTCTGAGTTGTACAAATGGACATTATAGGACTGCTGTTTCTTTTCCTAGAGCCTTCTATTTATAACATTACCTTTATGGAGAGACTAGAGTAGGTGGACACTATCCTGTTAATGAGTGGACTGCTGTGATTTTCCCAGCTCTAAGCTGTGCCTAACACAGGGCAGGCTCCCCTGAGCTGTGAAACTGGAAAGAGAAAGTTTGGAATTCTCCCATACGTGTAGTCACGTAACTCTCGAGGCTAGAATCACTCAGAAAAAGTCGTCAGATTTACTAATCATCCTTCTGATCTTAAAGTCTACGAATATTCCACATTAGAGAAAGATTTTCTTCTTGTCCCACGCTCGTGACAAGACGAAAAACATATTGCTCTGTTTCTTTATCGAGCTCAAAGCTTACCAGCTCTCTTGTTCTGTTCCACATTAGTTGGACATCACCCCATGAATCAGTGGATGGTTGCGATATTTGCAACACCAAGTTGTGTCTAACACAAGGCTGGCTCCCGCTTGCATTGGTTTAGTTACAACTGAACCAACGAAAGGAGCCATGTTCTTAGATATGTTTGATTGATTTATTAACTCTACAGCCCAACATACTTGGTGAAGAAACTTTCTCTTTATTATATATTATATTCTCTTGGTCCAGTCCACTATTTTATCAATAGCTCAGAGTTGTTGGACTTTGCCCTGTAAAGCGATGGACGGTCGTAATCTTTACCAACCAAGCTGTGTTCAGCACAGGGTGATTCCTTCTTTTTCATATAGGCCTGTAGAGAGAAATACTGAACCGATTTTAAAACTTTTTTATGGTCAGTAGACTCTGCTCTGGTTTATAGCTGGCTGAAATCGTTACTAATCGTAATGATGACCGGTCACACCCAAAGCTGCGTGTAGCTGGTGATACTGCATGAATACGGAAGTAAATAAAATTATGACTGTTTTCTAGTGTAGAGGGAACGAGGTTTCTAAGATAGAAAATTCTCTATCAGTGTTCAGTAGCTATTTAGAAATAGTGATGATCACCTGTATCACTTTTGTGAGACCTTTTGTAGGCCCCCCCCTGGAACGTTTGTACCTCCACTGCACATTTTTTACCCTTTCTGATATCATAAAAACGCTACTATCAAGGAAGGCTAGTCCTATCTCATTTGGAAAGAGGTTGTTTACTTCTCTTAACTGTAAAGCAACAGTCGCAATTTTTCCTTATTTACCTATGAAAAGTCACATTCCCCATTTCCAGACTTTTGCAAGTCTGTATTCATTTTGTATCAAATTTATTTTAAGATTATCTTATTTTGGGCCAAATTAAACACAACCTTTAAGCAAAATGATTTCTGTGATGATATCAAATAGTAGAGTAAATGACTTCGCTAAAAAAGTTTATTTAGTCTTTTCACCACGCCCACGGCACGTTGTACCAAACGTAAGTTTGCAGAATCCTTTCTGTTGGTTTGAGGCAGTCTTGATGATAAGGCTCTTTGGAAGATTTTCTATGTTCTGCTTTCACCATTTCACCATTTTACCCCCATGTGCCTCCAAGTTTTGATTCTCTTTTAAGCGATGCTCCTAAGAGGTTGAACCAACAAATGTATTCTTTAATTTTTGTCAACTTTTTGTTGTTTCAGAATAGCTTCCACTGATTTCGTTGAAACCTTTAAGGAAATTGGAAAAGCAGGAATAAAAACGCATTTAAAACTAAAAAAAGAAGGACTATAAAGCTTGCCCTCTACAATGTGCGATTACATCATAGTCACAATTTCAATGGATGGTCTTCTTCAAAAAGGTTTAATGTGATTTATCTCAGTCTTCTTTAGTTATAAAAGTGTCTATATTCTACAAAAGAAAAAAAAAGAAAGGAAAGAAGTCCAAGTAGCGTTTTCTTGAAGCTGAACAGGAAATTCTACCTATGAAATCTACTAGTAACCATGATTATTTCCTTATTTGGTAACTCTATTTGGCTTCTGTGTTAACGCAGCCATCAGATGTTGTCATTTGATTCTGTTGTCACCCTTTCATAATCCACTGGAAATATAATGAATTGAGTAAGTAAGGGGCACAGCATTTTCCTGAACCCCCAACTGTTTCTTTGTAGTTTACACCTTGGAAAAGGACGTTTCTAGGTCGGATCATAACCTTAACATTTCGTAGCTAAAACCGTTCAACCTTTCACCACGAAAAAAAGAAAAGAAACAAAAAAAAAACATTACATAAGAATAGTTAAATAACTCACACGTGTACTTTTAAACGTTTTGTAAGAAACTACCAGTCGAGTCTATTTTTTTCCTACTCACTGAAATAGATTCTATGATTTATTAACGTCGGTTCGTTCTCCCCCCTGTGTCGAGGTATTGTGTACAAGGACTTCAATATCCCTTGAGGGGCCCTTGTGCGCGCCGGGACACCCCGCTGGGCGGCATTGACAATCTGTGTAACACATTCAAATTCATCAGGTCTCGTTGAGAAAGGATCTTTAGAAGTTTCCGGCGCAAGGCCCTTTTAATTATAAATGTTGTCAAATCATTCAGCAGCATCTTTTAATTTTACGAAAATGCAAATTTTTCTTGGCGTTCGATTTTCTTTCGTCATGGACACACGTCTTACCACAAACCAAAATTGTTTTCTTTTCCGTCTCATTTCCAAAATGTTAGACCTGGGTTAACACTTGCCTGCTCGTGTAGATATTTTCCCACACGACAAGACACCTTTGCTGTTAGTTAGCATTAGTGGTATTTGTTTTGAACTCCCACACCCTAAGGTAGAGATTTGTAGACGAAACAGCAGAGCAGACGATAGATCAAAACACAAAGCCCTGTTTCGCCCTATTATTTTGATCGTGCAACAATCTTCCACACCAAACTCGGTATCTTGGATAATGCTGCTATTTTGTGTTCCACCTTTGCGGCAAACCTCAAATTAAAAAATATACATATTTCTTTAAAACGTACACCTTTTATTTTTTCCAGATAGTGGACATCATTAGGAAAGTAAAGCATGCTTTTCTCTTTTCATTTCACTCAAAAATAAACTACGAAATCAAGAAAGTCTCCCAATTTTGTATTTCTTTGTTTAATTGATCGCGAACAGAGTTTCTTTGAAGAAGCCGCAACGCTGTGCGTTCCTTTCTTTACATTGGAACACCTCGTGTGTCAGTTCAGATTTAAATAATTCGCAGACAAAGATGAATTCAAACACTCTAATTTGTAAGCGACTGGCCTGCGGTGAGAATTTGAAAGTAACCCAGAAAGCCAAATTAAAAACTCTGACAAATTCAACGAGGTCGCTATTGCCAAGGTTATTCATTTTCCTTGAGTTCGACCTGCAACATAATTACGTTTTTCTGTGGCACCCTACAAGGCAATTCTAAAAGAAATGCGAGATAACGAAAATTGGAAAATATCGCCGGCGGCTAAAATTGGTTGTCAACGCAGCACATTTTGGCTCGAAGATGAATTAGTGGTTTGAATGTCCGCTTGGGCAAAACCCTCCGCTCAGCTGGGAGGCAAAACATTGATGGCGTATTCTTATAATGTCCAAAGTTACATTACTGAGAAGCGAAAATTCATTTTCTTCCTTACATGTACCGGTGAAAATAAATAAAACCGGCTATCGTGTGGAAGTTCTTAGTAGTGTTATCTCGCATGGCCTCAAATAAATTGTAAATTTTAATATGATATTCAAGGAGTGGTTGATGAAAGTTTTATCGCTTCTTCGTTAATGTCTGTGATGCTTATGCGAATTAGATATTTGCTTTGTGCGAGCCATTATCTGCCATGACTGTCAAATAAGTAGAATATTGTATAGACTACAAAATGTAACAAGACGGGTCGAATAGCACTTCTTAGCAGTGATTTTGGTTTGATTTTACGAGATAAATTGATTCGCTCGCGTTACACCCCGCAATGCATTTGGATCGCCTGGGAAGAAAGTCGTCTTATAACACAATGTACTTTTTTTCCTTTTAAACTCGCAACAAAGATTTAACCATCAATCAGCCCATATACTCCTCCATATCACGACCTTATTGTCACTCAAACGTTATTCATTGACCCAAGCAATATACCACACTACACAAACAGCCATTACTTTAATTGTTGTAATAACCGGATGAAATACAAACATCAATTCACTTTTCTAAGACCGACTAAAAATATTTTGCCGTCGGTAAGATTGTTTACATTTGGCTATGTAAACAGCCGTTCGTAGGCGAGGGGATTTTGTACTCGGATACATGAATATTCCTATGATTGCTTTTAAAGGAAGCATTAAAATTTATTTTTGGAACCTTTCCGATGGTTTTGACTACAACGACAGCCGACAATCCATCTTAAAGGGGCAATTTGGCACAGCCTTGACATCATACGCAATTCGCGCAAATTGGGAATCAGATAATGTGAATGCTATTTTGACATTTCTGTTTGCTGTAGTCCTTTAATGTTATCAACACAATTAATGTGTTTCTAAGTTATACAAGGCTAAAATAGCCATAACATAGTTGCCACTACAAGAGCTCTCCTCGACTACCAAACTCTGTAGCACCAATGATATATAGCCAGCTTCCTAAATATAAAAAAAGCATGCTCTGTGAAGAATTGCAGATTTAGCTTGAAGAGTAAAAACAATGGCTAACTGCATCGTGGACAGACTTCACTAGTGGTCCATTTCTACGATTACTTTTAGCAGATATTTATCAAGTTCCAGCCTTCCTTATGAAGCCATGAGAAAATAATACATCGGTCGACCTTCTGTAGTCGTTCGATAAAAAATTATCCTTCAATACATTCAAGACTAGCAAACATAATTGAGACTTCAGATATGATTTGACTGCCTTATTCACCTTTTGTAGTCTTGACCCATATCATGTAGCCCCTTTTTCCCATTTTTCAGCACTTACGAAGGTTTTCAACTGAACACTTTTACTGTCGTTGACAAAGAGGCCACACTTCCAGATGGAAGCTTTTAGCTTAACTTGGTTGGAAAATTCAGCAGAGATGGGCTTGCTTCTCGAACACTGAAAACGTTGATTTGAATAATGGAAGGAACACCATTCTACTGTGAGATGAAACAAATCACTGTAAAACAGTTGCACCTTATTCAATGCTTACAGTTCTGCAACTATCATCACCCACTAGGTTTCACATTTGAAACATTTGGGAGCCTTGAATTTTCCGTTCCAAACCTCTTGGGTCCCTCAAGTACATCCTGGAAATAGAAAAGAATGGTTTCAGTTGAAAGAATGAAAATGAAAAATTTTTCATTGCAAAAAACAAATGAGATCTACTTTTACAGCTTTCTATGAAACTCATAAAAATTTCATTCCAAGAAGTGTCACAATATTTTTATTCGCGCGGCGGTCTATTCTATGTCAATCAGTTCGAGAAATAATTCTATTCAGTTTTCTACGGCAACATACAGCTAACTTTATTGTTTTCCTTAGCTTTACAACCAACGTAAACAAGCTGGCATTGTGGGGAGAGATTCAAGGTGAACGATGAAACCCGTAAAAAAAACATTGCCAGCTTTTCTTTGCGTAGCTTTTAGCTTATCGCCGTAAGAGTTGTGTCCATCATGATAAGGGGCTTGTTATTTGCTGATGAAGGAAACGTTAGGTGATTTTGTGGAAATAAGAGCACTTTTTCGACTCATTTTTTATCTATACATTCAAGTATCATGCAATACTTTAATAGTGCTCTCAAGGGGTCCGATCTAAAAGTTAGACTCTTAAATTTGAATGTGTGTAGCGTAATTAATGCTGAGGGGAAACCGACAAATTCAAGTGCAATTTTATCGACAGCTTTGCAATATAGCATCGCTTGATTTGCCCAAAGGCAACGAAATAACGGCCGCTTAGATATGTATCTAAAAGCATAAAAAAATTTGCGGGTACAGCACTCACAGTCTTTGGACTCGTGGATCACCTTTAAAAAACCTGTTGGCATCGAACGACTAAGGATGAGATGAGTATATGACGCTGAGATAAAATCAAACCCTTCTCGAAAGCTCGTCGCTGACTATCTATCACTTGAAGACTTTAATGAATGAAGTACAATCTTACAATGCATGAATTACAATCTTAAAAATATTTGCAAACTCTTCCAGAAATTGACTCTTAAAGCCTTTGTAAATAATATGATCATAAAAGAAATAAGTTTTTTCTTTGGAACTCTTTTGCGAGGACAGTTATTTTGCTTCCGACAAAACAAACTTGGCCCCAGGGTATACATCACCCTCTCGTTTCAAGTAATGTAAAACTTCTGTCCTAAATTTGCATCTCAGCAAAATGAAATGTAAGTGGTGTTCAGAACTCTTTTTCCAAACGTGTTTTAGTATCAAGCAGTCTTATTAGGGCTCCTTTACATGAATCACTTCTCTTTATAAATTTTGATAAAACTATACTACATGGCCCTTAATCACGCTATAAGATGTTACAAGCAACTTGATAGTTTTACTTACCATTACAGGAAAACTCGAAATAAATTTGCCTATATTCTTTACAGTTTTCCTTTGTAAATTTTATTATCTAGTGCAAGTTTGGCTCGGGCTTCGAACTCCTCGCTAAATTGTTACTCTGTTTTAAAACATCTCCCCCTCCTTCTTTGACTGAAAACTCCGTATCTCTCCTCGCTCTTATAACTTCCCGACTAATTTGTTGTAATCTTCTGAAAGCCATTAGTCGTAAGACTGTTTTTTGTTTGCAGTCATGGCATTGTTCGGTTGCTTGCATACGAGGGTTCTTTACTTCCAGAGATCACCGACGTTATGTCCTCTCAGTATTGAAAATTTCATTTCTCCTCATGCTTTGGCGAAATTAAGTTCCCTGTGCGTCATTCGAGAGAAACATTTATTTGACAATTTTAAATCTTTTTGGAAGAGTTAATTCCTAAAAATAAAAATACCTGCACGTAAATATAACAAAATCAGACAAGCGTCTGTGATTTTTATTGCCGTGCGAACAAATACGACTTAATACCTAAAAAGCTCTAATCCAAGCGAGTTATGAACTAAGGCGAAATGTAGGCATCCAACAGTTAGCCTTGAATGAGATCTGCTTAAACCGTGACAAAGAGGATTATGAAAGTGATATCCTTAACCCTCAATCAGTGTGAAGCGAGTAAATTCTAAACGCGTTTGGGAGAGGACTTAGATTCAGATACATTAAGTACTTGAAAAATTGCCGGAAGACAATTGTTTTAAATTCACGGATATAATAGTATTTTACTCTCTTCCTTCACAAAGTAACGATTTTTAAAAGAGGTTTGGCTTAGTGTACGACCACTTTTACATTCCATGTGTGACTCAATTCGTTACCATAACGGTCAAATACATTTTACATTACACCTGCGTCGTTGTTTGTACGTATTTTTTTTCTTCTTTCCGATTCCTGTGTTACGTTTTCCTCGTTAAGTTTCAAGATTTGTGTCTGCAGTGTATTATGAAAAGGTCAAGGGTTCCTATGGCGAGATTTCTGACCGCAGGATCAGTTTTACCTTCTAACGTCTTAAAACTGTAACCCTGTGATTGTGGTTTTCCCGCTTGTTTCGAGGACAACTTCTTTGAGCTTTCAAGAATTTTAAATTATCACTGTCGGATGGAGAATCCATGTGCTTTCGTGTGCTGGAAACGATACTAATAGTGAGCAACTTTCCTCTCGTCTACTGTCATTGCGGCGCCTCTTCTCGGTGCTGTTTTGTTTCAATGTCAGAAAAGAAAATAAGTATTTTAAGCCATCAATAATTAGCAGCTCTTGATGAAAACAAGTTCAAGTTATATTAAACACGTTTAGATTATTTCAAGAATATTCTTATTTTGATTGTAGTGGAAAGGTTAGCGTTTGCAAAACGGTCCGCTTTAATTCGTCACAGGAAATGCTGAATGAGACTTGAAATCGCCCGATAACCTATCGTAAGTCGACATATTTTCGTTTTATCTTGCACTGCATTTTCTGAACGTTTCACCGAAGTCAAACAATTTTTCTGAGGCATCTCACGCTTCTTCAACAACACGGGTCACACACAACAAGCTCTTAGATCTAACCTTGGCATCTGCTAGAGGAATGATGTTAACTTAGTTGACACACTCTTAAACGCTAATTTCATTTATTAGCATTTTTTTGGATCTGTCCACATTTTCTATCGAGGACCACAAGACTCGACTCGCTGATTCATGCCAAGATCTTAACGTAAGCTCAATATTTGTAGGAGGTATCTTGTTACATTTACTTCAGCAGGTGCCGAATTTTGTCATCCGTCCGCTTTGTCTCTATTTTTACTTTCATATGCTGCGCAAAAGCTGTTTATATTATGTTTCTTTTGTTGGCCTTGGTCAGGGACATGTTTGCCTGAAAACCTCACAAAAGTACTCGAGACACAAGACAATATGTGTTTACAGAAAAAGAGCGAAGCGGGATATTTTTTCACCAAGTTCTAGTGCACAATGGGGAGAAAAAATTTTTTCGTCAGGAAGATAATTTATTTCTGTTTGTGTGCGTTTGTACACTCTTCAATACATGATGAAGTTTTTGATAGCTCAAGTTATTACTTTGTTGATATACATTTTCATATTCTCCTTGTTTGAGAAGAAAATTTCAGCCCATTTGTTTACATTTCCAATCCATTTTCTTCGGTGTTAATTATTCGCCCACTATTCAGAAGTTCTTAAACACACGGCCTCGTTGTCTGATAATTCTTGCCATTTTAGCTTCAAAACATGCCGAAACGTAGGTAATTAAAAAAAAATAGCGTGCATAACATGGCGAACTGTTATTGAAAAATCGCAGTTTTTCACTTGCATTTGTAGCCTAATCATTACCCGCCGGTGCCAAATTTACACTCGCGCTTTGCCTGAAATTTTGGAATTCCCTTTATTTGTCATTACGTTTCCAATATTTTCGGATAACAAAACATTTCGTAATCTAGGAAGGAGGAAATTATCGTTTGCATAGCACCCGCGTAACACCTTTCATTACATAACCACTAATTGTTTATTAGTCAGAAGACTTCACTCAAAGTGGACTATGTTTGGTTTTTGTTCAAGCAAAAGAGGCTGTCTATTCGGCAATAAAAGATTTCCTTTGATATTTTTTGTAAGGAGAGACTCCTTCGCCATAACCGCGATTCTTTCATTACTCACTTCACCCAAAATATGGAATTTTTTTTTTCAGAAAAAATCATATCACATCGATCCATAAAACGTCTTACAATGTCGATAAGGACGGGATATATTCACAGCTTTGTTTAATTCTCGGAGAACAGAATTAAGACAATACTTTGGTAAAGTGAGTGCCTGGATGTTTTCATCTACATAGCTTTATTATGTATGATGTTTTAGAAAACCTTTCTAAGCACTAAATAAACTATGGGTTTTTAAGTTTTAGAAGAATTGGTTCAAGTAAATAATTTCCGGTAACCTCTCTAAACATGCAATTTGGTGCGACAAAGAAACTGCTTTTTCAAGTAGCACTGTTAAGTAAATATTGCTTTTTCGTTATCTTTGTCAAAGCAGACCGACTTACGATTTTAAGGGGCTGAGATTTTATTTACTGCCTGTTCTTTGTTCTACTGTTGGATATCAAATGGCGTTTTTAAAAATGATCGCTTAAGCAAGGCAAAAGACACGAACCTTGCCTTTGCTCAGATAATTTGTCTTCGATATATTTTATGTTAATACGTAGCCAAACGCTCCCTTCAGGTTCGGTACTTTGGTTCCCAAATACATAAAACGCAAACTGGGATATAAATCACAGCAGCTGAGTCAAGATTGTTGTATACGATAAATCTTTAGCTAGTAATTCATTGTTAGATCAAGCATAAGCACTCAACCACGTAATGGAAGGCTATTCAATCTTACTGAGAAGAAAAGGCCAATAGAAATGTCGTTCAACGTGTTTTGTGCTAGAGGCCAACAAAAGGAACGTAATAAGAGTCCTAATGAAAGACATGTCATCCGTGGAACCTGTTGTTTATCCTTCTGGTTACCAGACCATGAGTGTTAAGCGAAATGGAAAGCATTGTCCGTTCGTTTTCCATCTGCTAACATATATCTAAGGCAAGAAACGTAACTTACACGCCTCGATACCGAAGGTGTTTTCCCTCCAGCTATAGATTTGTGAAAGACTACTTACATTAGCAGCCACATTACAACCATTGCCCGTACAAAAGTCGTACATACAGAACATACTGTACACAATAAACCAGGTATATCAGACTGACTAACTACCTTACAATAATAGTTTTGTTACTGGAATAATGTTGAGTCTTCAATTCTAAATATTCGGCGAGAATAGATAACAGATATAAAATAAACAGGGCACTAGTAAAAAAGAAACCTTTCGCTTCCAGTATTACCAGGGAGATTCTTTGAAACTTTTACTGATGAAAGAACATTTACTGATGAAAGGATTTGCCACCGGCAGAAAGAATTCTTTCACAATTCCCTCGATACGTCCAGCAGTGGTCTCGCCCGATGATACTATTGTTGTTAAGGACTGTTAAGAACAGACCTCATCTTTTTATCTCTAGTAACTCCAAAAGTAGAGAAAAAATCATTGTGCAACATATAAAACTTCAATGCCCCTTTTGGTGTCACTTTGCCTGTTCTTTTAGATAGTTTAAAAGTGATTTCAGAGTGTCACCTCGTAGACAAGTGTTACACGTGAAGGGCGTATGTATGTCACCCGTTTCTTTTCATTACGAACTGACATGTGTCATGAATCTTTTGGGGTTGGACTAAGTGATGGGAATCTTGGACATTTCTTGAAGATCTTACATCTCCTAACATCGCTTTCTTGCCGAGTTAGCGCTGCTTGCCTATCACTCATTAAAGAACATCTTACCTTATAATTTATCTCATTTTCGGGACGCTCTGCAGAATCATTTTCCACACGCAGTCAGATGCATCCAACTTTCGTCCGTACTGCGCGAATCATTCTGACTTATTCCTCGGTTAAGTAACTTGGTGACTATTTAAAGTCTTGGTACACACATAGAAATAAAGAAAAACATTTTACCACACACACCTGGAGTGGTGCATGCTGCTGTTTTGGAAAGCTTGGGTTGAAAACATAGCGCAGCATGATCATGGGCATTCCGTCAAATGTTGTATTGTTTAATGATCGATGGGTCGGTTTAGCGTGGCGTATGGTTCTCTTTGCTTCACATTTACCTCTTCTGTTTACTTCTCTCTCTTCTCATTTAAAACGAGTTTGTTTTAGTAAATCTCAAGAACCTCCATTACTCAATTTCAAGTTTGCTATCTGTTCCTCTTAATTACTAGCATCGATTTTGTAGCAGTTTCGGCCTTTTTAGTTTCCAGAGGTGTCTCTTGTTTCCATCTTACTAAAGCTCTTTTGACATAGAATCTAGTCTTTGTAGTAATGTGATCAATCATGTCAACATGCTGTATCAGTTTGTTTGGAGAAAGAGCCTGCCACGTTCTTTTAAATTTTCCGACCGAATTTTTAGGTGGATGTTCGGGTAAAGAGGTATGTTACTTTGTTCTTCACCCTACATTCCTTTTTTTAAGGAGGAGGTATCTATGACCCCATTCGGATATGTTTTTTTCTTGCAATGAAAATTCTTCCCCTCGCTTCGTTTGTTTTATGAGAATTTTTCATTCATACTGTCTAGGTTTGAGGGGGTAAGACTTCTGATGGAAATTGTCAATTCGGTTTTACAGAAGTGACCACACCCTGGAATTATCTTGGACACATGTCCAACTAAAACTCAGTTAATTTTATTTCTTCCAGTTTTTTTGGTATATTTTAGGGAGATACCCTTCTCTCCTTTACAAGTAAGAAGCGTTGATTTTAGACTGCTAACGTAAACTATTCCCTCTATCATCCTGAGGATTTGAGAACATGTTTTAATAAGGACAAAGTCTTTTGACAAGAAAATATAATTTTATTACCCTACAAAGATATGTACATTATTTTTTTTTTTTATCTTTTCACAATTGAATCTTTTTCGAGATAAGTCTATTGACGTCCTCAACGTTGATAGAAAACATTAGGTGACAATAATTGCAAATAACGTAAATCTAATAATATCCTATGCCTTGTTCAGCTAGTCTTTGAAAGTTACGAATCCCTTCGCTTTGGTGAATTCTATCTTCTTTCCTTAATTAAATATTGTTAAAACTGCGGAAATTGCTCAAACGAAATAAGAATGATCGCCCAAAGTATCCGGCTTAAATATTCATGATGTGAAACAGGATTTAATTTTGGAAAATTTCCCTGCAAAGGATCCGCAAATACCACATATTGATTATCTCTTCTTGTCGCCAAATATTTGCGCCTGATGTAACAACTTTCACTTTACTTGACGATTATTTTCAAGTTTGAAGTTTGTTTGCTCACGTAACGACAAACTGTGCTTTATATGGCATTATTTTCTTAAGAAACAATGTAAACAGCCCGATATTTAAATACTGATATCTTTTCTCTTGAAATAGATCGAAATGCTGATTAATATCGGTTATACAATACTCTGATGAAAGCAAAATTTAGAAAAATACGCTCGATATCTTTTTTATTATTATCATTTGGGCAGTTCATTTCGAAAAGTGGTAAAAATTCATATCGCTATGAATTAAAATACAAATTCATAAAACTCCTGCTGTGCACTGAAAATAGTAATTATATTGAAGATATTCAAGATCTGAAGACAGCGATGAACGGGATAAACGTAGTTTGTAGTTTTGGTACAAATTTTGGCGCACTAGTTTGCGTCAAACCTTATCTGCTAAATGACTGCTATGCCAATTTGCCGAGCTCGGAATTGTACATTAATGAAACATGATCTTTTTCAATTTATCTGACCTCTTTACTGTTCTGAATAAATTTACGGTTTGCATATAATGAGCACAATTTCTGAACACAAAGACTTCGAGTTTTACAATCTTATTTACCGATAATGTTCCTCAAGCGTTCAAATGCCGCAGACTCTCCTTTATGAGTTGCAATAAAATCAAATTAGACTTTGAAAGATTTCATAGTAATTTCAAATTATAATAATTTACTAAAGGCGATCAAGTTAAAGTCAAAATAAAATTTCACAGTCTGGGAGATTTGTGCCAAAGATTGGAGTTATCTTATAATCTCATCATAGCGATAATAGGAATAACCAAAAAGTAAAGCTTCACATTTGTGATTTCTCTGATTTTAACAGTTTTTGACAAAAGCGGCGATTCCCTTGTTGTTCGTGCAATTTCTATCGGAAATTAAGTTCTTATCGCTCGGCGAGTGTTTGATAGCTGGGTGTTACTTTCCAAACCAAACATGGAGTTATACAGACGCCATAACTGCTGGGAAACGTGTCTACCCTGGGTTTAAAATGGTGTTGTTTTCAGATGTATTGTCTTACTTACCACGTTATCAGTGTTCGCGCCCCATCAGTTTACTTTGCTTACTGTGTGGAATGTCGACAAAACTAGTAAACAATAATGATTCCGCGGTTTATGAAACTAGTTCATCTTTTCTGATAACAAGTTGAAACTACACTCAATTTTGTCGCTCACAGGCAAGTAGACGAATGTAGTGAATAGGCATTTGTATTGTTTTATCCTGTAAAAACTGTCGTAAGTAAATGTATATGTCTCTCTTCTTCGGTTCATCGCAGACTGGTAACGTATTCACTGTCAAATCTTATTTGCTATTTGGTTACGAGCCGATAATGTATCTCGACAAGCCGGGTGCTTGAGCAATCAATTTCAACTTTCATGTCATTTTGTGGTGGTGCGAGTCGCGAAGACCGCTCTCTTGTCTCGAAATTTTTTTGCGCCTTGTTATTTCAGACTTAATTGTATTCACCTTTATTCGCTTTCCTGTTTTCGTTTTGTGCGTAGCAGCTTTTCCGAAAGCTGTTTGCATCGAACCAACCATTTTCGCCTATGAACTGCGGTGAGTGACGCGGTATCTTCATCTCTTTGATCTCCTTCCAAACGAAAGCGCAAAATTAATTTTTAAGTTCATATGGTAAGTTCAACAGCTTTGTTCCTACGTTTTCATTTCATTTGAACATTTCAATTACGAGTTCTAATGTGCAGTGCCTTAATGCTTTGGATGTTCTCGATTTGTTCCTCGATCGTCCATCAATTGTCATGTTTAAACTGGACGCGAAGAAAATTACCAATTAGGTCCAATCTACAGCTTCAGCTAAAATCGTAATAAATGAATGGCGAGTCCTCTACAGCAATAAGCATGGATAGAATTTGTATTGCGGAATCTGCCTGGTAAAATTAATTTTGCATGATAACTTAGATTAACATAAACATCACAGCGTACAAAACCAATAATTTGTTTGACCGCCGTCTTCAGAAAAGTTTGTCAACGGTATGCTTGGGTGAAAAGTTCAGACAATTTAACAGCGATTGAGAAACAGGATGAGACAACTCTTGTGTAAATTCAATAAAGAATAACAGCCAGTCCGTGTATTTTTGATGTTCTTCTTGGTTTACCAAACGAATACACAACAGATCGGAGTCTTTGGAAGATTTGAATCCGCGTCTTCCTTCTCCAGCAATTTTCCCCCCTTTTCAAACGAACTTGGCAAATTTGAAAGTTTATAATAGTACAACGAAAGATCTATTTCGTCTTTCTTTGCCACTGGCTACATCTTTGTTGTCATAAAATTCCAATTTCTTATCGGTTTTGTAATTCTAATGTGTAGACACCATCGTGTAGGGCACTCAAGGGGTCGCCGCCATGCGTTTGTTTGTGGTTTCAAGGTAACCCTCTTCTGACTGAAGCGATACGTTTTGCATCGGTGCGACACTGGGACAAACGAAACGCACCCCTTTTGTCTCGCTCGCTTGTTGATAAAAGATAGTGCGCGCTGTGCTTGAAGTGAAGGAAGAGGTGCATGCTAAGGGTAAAAGACCAGATGCTACAGTAAGGGAAAGAAAGACATACTGAAAGAAAAAAGGGTTATGATTAATACCATGTTAAAGCGATTTATCGTACGAAATTAACATTTACTGTTGGGCGCTTGTGATTTATACCTGCTGAGAAGTTTGCTACTGCTATCTCTTTAGAAATATTTCACGTATTAGCACGAAAGATCGAATGAATTGGAATTGAAACCGCCTGAAATCAGAACACTGCAAATTGCTAGCATTAATATGCCTTGTAAAAATCATCACTCGATGCTCTTGAACTCTTTATCAGTTTGCTTTTTCCCGACTGGCTAGCATGAATGCTCAATGTTTTCATTTTCGGCAAGTGTACCAGTTAAGCAAATAGGGACCCAACTATAAGATCAATTTCGCGCGGTGCTGTGACACCCCAGTTGTTAGAATTTAACTCTACTCAGCGCCTTTCACGGCTCAATTTTAACAGCTCGTATCTTTGTGCTCATTCTTAATCCCAATTATTATTTTCTTTTTCATTCACTTATCGTTAACAAGAATGTCTAAGGATTATCCCATTGTTAAATTAGTTTGCGATCAAAGCGAAAGAAACCCATTGTTTACATCCTTCGCTTAGGTGAACGCGGCTGGCTATCAAAGTTGTTCGAGAATAACCGGCAGCCCAATAACTGTAACTCACCATAAGGTGCCCAATTTGTATTATTAGCAGGAAGATAATCCTCGTTTTTTCGGAATATTCTCCCACCAGTTAATAAGCCGAAGACACGAGAGGATAAAGGAAGAGTAAAAACTATTTAAGAAGACCCTAAATTTAATAAAATATTTATTGTACTCAGAATTTTGATGATATTTTTGTTCGGTAGCAGAAAAGTTGCTTAATTAGGTAAATCTTCAGAGTGTTGCTTCAACGATGAACTTTTTCCTGAAATTTTTGAAAGCAGCAAATTATGTTGAGACTTTCAAACGACCGTAACGCGATCACCCTAATTACTGTTCATTCGCGTTTTGGAAGATTGCGCTTGTGGTGATATTGATCTTAGCCAATTTACCACGGTGATATCGGTTAAACCTGGGTAGGTTTTTTTCCTTGCTTTACACAGATGTAATTTATCACTGAAAGGAATATTGCTCCAGTTGAAACAGATGTGCCCTTTTCTGTATTCATTTACAAGCTTTGTTTTATACATTTGATTCCAAATCGTTAGACATACATTACTTCAGAGAAATACTACTCCTTTTTTGTCCTGAGTTTTTGTTCCGAGGACCGGCGCATTTTTTTTGTGTGACTTCAGAGTATGGTATGTTTACAATAGAGAAAAAGTAAAGAGCTTAGAATCAATAACATTGTCAAGCTTGGATAATATACGTTTGACGGCCGTCAAAATAGGCAATTGAAAAATGGCTTCTACACAAATATACTCGATGTTATGTTTTGGAGGTGAATTTTCTCCTTGTCGGCGAAAAACTTAAAACATTAAACCAGAGCAAAAAATTTCCTCGCGTCCTTCAATTTTCTTTATAAAGAAGTGACTAGGCATATCATTTCCTCTTTTCAGATTTTATTTAAGCAGTTACTTTGTTACGTCCTCTCGCGATTTCTTTAAGGAGATGTTCGCCTCGATGATGCGAGAATTTCAGTCAACTTGGATTTAAGGGGGGGTGTTAATTTAAGTGTGGTGCATTTAGAGACCACCTAGTATTTGAAAAGCCGCTATGGCGTAAATAACCTGGCCGCCGTTCCACCTATTGCAAGAAAAAGAAAATAAACACAAAATCTTAAAGAATACTCACTATTTTTATCTTGCATTTATCACTTTTTATAAGTGGTCCAAAAATGGAAAAAATAGACTCATTCGCTTAGGAAAAAGTTTTGATCCTTTGGTGTGAAAAGGTAAATAGTCCTTAATCGGAAGAAATTTCCCTGTGTGTTTACAGGTGCTTCTAAACTTACCGGGGAAACTTCCATAAACAGACCACGAGAGAATCAATAAACTTGGACATGGGACCTTGCAATGGTCGAACATTTTGTTCCGCTCTCATGAAGTGATTAAAAATCAAGTTTTAGGTTTCCAAATCTAATGAATGTTGCCATACCGCAGCAGCATTCACTTTCTTTTGTTTATGCCTTACCCAGATAAGAAAATGACTCTCGAGGAAACTTGTATGGACGAGTTACAACATCGAGATCTGACTACTATCTCGCGCATTGCAGAGGCTATTAGAGCCGGTTAAACTATCAAAAATGAAAATGTAGTTTTAATATCACCAGCCTCTCTTGACCATCCTTGCAGTTTGTGCGATATTGTCCAAATATTGACAAATTTTAACAAAGCCTTGACAGAACGCCGCCGCTGAAACAGAAAACAACCGACCCCTTATCCCTAACTCGACTCCGGCTTAGGGAGTACAATCGTTTGCTGCTGAATCAGTGTTTTTTTCTAAGTCGCAGACCTTTTGGTCACTAAAATCTTTAAGTTTTGTATGGTCACTGGAATAACTACAGCTTCTTCTTTCTGAGAGATATCAACCTACGGCAGTTTCAAGCTGCTATCGCAGAGCGAAGGCACCCCGTAGTGGTTTTTCTATAGTAGCGCACTCTCTCGCATCCATGGAAATGCAATATATCTCTTTAATCAGAAACATTTCCTTTCCATTTCCTTCCAAACTAAGGTCTAGCCCATCACAGCTGTTTCGGAAAGGTTCTGATCGGAAAAGTTTCCCACCCTACATATTTTTTAAGTGTTCATCACCCATCTAATATAAGAGAGAAGTTTGCGGAAACAGCAAGTCAAAATAATGATTCACCTGTTAGGAAAAGGAATTATCGTTTTCACGAATTTTCTTCCGTCGACTTAGAACAAGTACTTCCATTATGATATTTTAAAAGCGAACTTAGTTGTGAGCAAGCAAAGCATTTGTCACACGTGTCTTGCTTTGAGATCTTTTGTGTGATTTAGAACGCCGAGCGACCGTAAATGATGATTCTCTTATCTCGCCGAAATGCCTCAGGATATGTGGTTAATTTGAATACAAGAAGTCTTCGTCGGCGACTTTCATGCTCTACTTAGGTTTTCATACGTATGAAAAATTTCGTTTCTATGAAAGTGCATTTTCTTGTAATTTCACTCGAATGCAAACTTTGGTGCGTTTGTGAGCGTCGATTCGTGTACCGGAATGTAAATTTTATGAAGTAATTTAAGAGACTTTTTGAGTGGAAAATCACGCGAATGAAATGCACCAAAACTGTCGCATCGGTATTGACAACATTTAAAATTAAGTTAACAGTGTCAAATTTCGTGTCACTTCTGGTTGCAAAAGACCCTCGCCTTGTCAGTGTCCGCGAATTTAATCGCTAACTATTTAACACAAAGTTTGGTTAACAATAAGCGATCGAAAAAACCTTAATTTAACGTCAAAACACCGTAAAGTTCAGGGATGGTTTATGTTCAGAATACAAACAAGAGCCATAATAACAAACACCGTCTTGGTTGCTCTAGTATTTGCCTGCCCATTGGCGGTACTGATTTGGATTAATAAACTTTGCTACTAGAGCAGAGTAGAAGACAAGAAAGACAACGATAAACTAAATAGTGGGAGGATAATGGACCAACGATAAAAACTACAAGATCAGAGAAATATTAATTTTGTTACTCCGCCACTCAATAAAATTTTGCTCGATGCAAAGTCGTGAATTTCCAACATTATCAGAGAAAGTGCAGTGTAACGGCAAATTCCCCTTTAAATCTTATCCATTTTAGAAAATTCCTTCCTCGAGGGTGATAAACCTTTGTGAATTTAAAGCGAATGAATTTTCTCACCCATGGAGTTGTAACTAAAATTGATCCATTGCCGAGTATGCGACCTTGAGCCTCGGACACCGCTCTACGGCATTATCCTCATTAACCCAGGAAAATAAAGAACAGGCAGATACCCTGACTATGAGTTTATTTTCTTTGAAGGCATAGAAAAGACAGTGACAATGCCGCATCGGCAAATAAATTATTTTCAAAAAGTTCGTTTCTTCCATTTCATCCTTGAACCTTTTTAAGTGGCGAGTAACCGCCGGTTCGAGAAATTATTCAAAATCAAAGTCAACAAACACTAGAGGTACTTCCTCAAAATTCTAAAATGGATTGAACAGATCGACAAAATCCTCTTTGTTGAAAGTGTAACTGCAAGTTACAGTTAAAAGCTAAAAGACTTCACGCGGCAAAAGAGATCATTGGCGTTTCACGCATTCACGCTGAAGTAGAAACTCTACACTAATAACAGTTCACAAAAGTGTACCTAATGAATTTACTAGCTCGTCAACTTTCAGTTTGAACTTCGAGCATTCGAAAACGTGCGCAATAAGAATAAATCTTAGGAGAATTTTCATTTCCTTTTTTTCCTTTATCGTAGATAATATTAGATTTGGTACAATTTGATTTGTTTGGAAGGTCAACTGCTGAACTGGTTGGAATGCCCAGATACCATATCAAGGGGCTTCTGATTTAATGATTAAAGTAAATATAATACTCAAATATTACATGAAATCTCTATAATTTTGGAGCGTACATCTCGAGTTTGTTAGTTCGCTTTTTTTTTTGCTTTTTTTAAGAGGCTTTTTTCCGTACTTTTCTTTCTCTATTTGCAGTCAGGTCCAAGATTAATTCTTATGTGTTCTCATATAAATAAAATCTCTAGATCGTAGAAACGTTTTTTCAGTCAATAATCTCTCGCACACGTTTACCCTATGAACGTGGTTGAGCGTCAAATGAATGCTTGTCAGGTGGATTCCAGTACGGATTAGTAAAATGATGGCCATGCACTGCGGCTGTATGATCAGTTTGTCTGCGACAACCTACACTGGGCATTGCCACGGCTCCGTACCCACATTGATTATTCACGGGGTTCTGGATTTGTGTAGAATACTGCGTACCTGTGTATGAGCTGACTGGGACTCCAACAGTTGATCCCATGTTCATGTAGGGTGCAACCGCATACCCCGGTGGAACTCTAGACGATTGCGGGTTGCACGGGTACGAAAGAGGGCCAGCAGGCTGAGCAGTTCGCCAGTTTCCTCCTGCAGTAGGTACACTTTGAACTGGATTATAAGCTGACCACTTGGGAGCGATGAAGTTTCCATACGCTGCCGCGCGCGGATCTGTTAGCATTCCGTTGGTGTGCTGCAGAGTTTGTTGCCGGTAAGGTCTCTTCATGCGGCGCCGGCGCCTGTAGTTACCTTTCTCAAACATATCCTCGCAAGCTGGATCTAAGGTCCAGTAGTTTCCTTTTCTCTCCCCGCCGCCTTCTCGGGGAACTTTAATGAAACACTCATTGAGTGACAAATTGTGCCGTATGGAATTTTGCCATCCCTTCTTATTCTTCTCGTAAAACGGAAACTTACTGATAATGTACTGGTAAATTCCATTGAGGGTTAACCGCTTTTCTGAAGACTCTCGAATCGCCATCGCGATCAGCGCGACGTAAGAGTACGGCGGCTTCACATTGGGATCTTTCGACGAGGCCTCCTTAGTTTCGGCTTTTTCGCTCTCAACTTGACTCGAGTCGCTATCGTCTTTCTTGAGCTCAGGCTCGTAGCTGCTTAGTTGATGGTCGTGGGTTGAAGAGGCCATTTTGCTTGTGTTTGACAGAGTTAATTCTGAAGTGTTGGAGGCTGTTCTGTGGCAATAATATATAAATTAGAAATTCTAAAGACTGTTTGGTGTTTGTCTTGTCGATATGACATTTGATTGGCTGGCCTATTCATTATCTATCACTTTCTATAAATATCCTGACATCACGCTATCTTTTGTCCATCGAACCAATCATTATGCTCTTTACAAAGCGTCAATTGATTCATTTATTTGTCTGGTAGCAATGCGACCACCTACTCTGGCAGCTGCTACTTGTCCGTTTAGGCCCTTAATTGTTTCTATCCATTCACTTTTATTATTTACACCATCCATGCCAAATTTCGTTTACCTTTCTATCATATATTCGGGAGTATACAATTTCAAACTACCTTGACTCCTAGTGTATATTTACACTCGAGGTGTGAAAATATTTTCCCGTTATCTTCAAGGAGGAGTGAAAAGTGAAACGCTCCTCCCCACACCCATAGTTAACACCTGGTTCGCAACTATACCAATCAGAGAGAAGCAATCGGCAGATGAGGGGAATTGAAAGGCACAAAGCAATTCACATGTTGTCTGGCCCAAGTGCAGGCTATTTAGCTTTAATTATACGATGTAGATTTTATTTTTTATTATTACAAACTACCCGCTGTGAATCTTTTTTCGCGATAATGCTGCCCCACGCTGGGGTCCTGTACCATGCAAATGCGCTTTCCTCTTTCTCCGAAAACAACATGACAACAACAGAAGACAGGAACGCTTATTTCGCTCCACCTGTGCGCGGTGCGAGAGCCAGACAACCGAGCCGTATCCTACAAAAACGCGCGAAACATTCATGAATTAAACCACACAAGCGGCTTTCTTATCACTTAAACGACCTGACTTGATTGGGAATGTTCTGAATTGAGTCAACGGGCTTTCATAAAAGCGATAGCGGCTCTTCGTGATAAGCTCAAAATACTCAGTCTGTTGCAGTCGAGGATAAGCTTAACATTATTATTTCCCAGGTTTTAATTACAGTTTAGAGTAACAGTAACATCATAAACCCCCTCAAAAGTAAATATTTCACGTATGAAGGTCTTACAGGGTTGATTACAGTATTTGCTGGTACTATTAAGGTTTGTGTACATTCAAAATGTTTATTCTAAAGAGTTGTTAAAGATTTATAATTTAGTGTAAACAAACAATTTCCAGTTGTAAGGGAAATTTTTATTTCGAGGCCACAACGGGAACACTTTTAGCTCTTCAGCAAGAGTACAAACCTGTGCGCATTTTTTGATGGACATATCACGCTCCTGTTTACCGGAAATTAGCAGCTGTGGATCTCGTAAATTATAGAATACTCGCAGAAAAATGGATTTCAAATGTCAACTTCGTTTCTCAGAGCCAGGTTCATCTCTCCTGTGTCTTATCAGATCGAAGCAACTTGTTTGTGTATGAAAAAGTTCGAGGCGGATGCGATCTCACCTTACGAATTTAGATTTGACCTGAAGCGCGAGGCAAATGCCGGTATTGTTTCCAGTGTCAAAAGTAGAAAAAGGTGCTATAAAACAGCTGTGTATTTATTTCACCAATGAGTAGCAAAAAGCACGCGAACTTTGTCATAAAAATCATGCGACAGCTCATTAAGTCATGCGAAAATTTTGTGCCTTGACAACGATTGAGAATTTGGTTGAAACCAAATAAGTGTTAACCCAATGATATTTTTTTGTAAATATATGCTGAAGATTCATTTACCTTTCTCCGGTTCTTTTTTATCTTCAGTTGAGGAAAATACTGCGCTCTATATGAAAGTGGCCAAATTTCTCGAGACTGAGGCGAACCGAATCAATTTAACCCAGTCAGTTAACCTTGAGAAGGGCCGGGAAGCTTTTGAAGAAGCAATTGGGGTCGCTCTGATATTTTCGCCACGGGATGTACTCCTACTGTCCTTGCTAGACATAATTGTTTCTAGAAATGGGAATTCTGATTGGCGGTGCTTCAATTTATTACCCTATTATTTACATCTGAAACAACAGTTGTCTTGGCTCGCGTGGGATATAATTGAAATGTGCTTGTAGTAGAAGTTAGTGTATTAATGCATGCTAAATTGCATCAGTCAACGCTTCGCTGCACTTTATTAACTCGCGAAAGCACTTCTAGTGGACGCAATTTCGCCAATTTTGAAGCCTAGATTCCGGTTTTGGAAAGCGACGGTAGAAATCCGCGGAAGTTTATCTGTTAACCTGCTGTTTCTGTTTACTGAACTAATCTAAATTTCACTACAGGACAGTGATTATGTATTCCCAACATTTATTGCATTTACGGTTTGTCAAGCCCTCCAAGTTGACAGCATTGCCCTCGGCGTGGACATGATAATTAAGTAAGAAGCGCGGGGATTGAATACGATTTCGCGAAATCTTGGCACCTTTAAAATTCCCGATTCCATTACCAACTGTCAGAAATCACTCTCTATGAGGTGAGAAAGGTTTTGAATGCTATTTTCGGCTTTTAGGCGCTTTCGTTTGATCACAGGAAGCTAGTGAAATGTTTATGCGTTTCCTTTGTTTTGGCTCCTCAATTGCCAATGTTATGGTTACTTAGGGCTTGATTCAAAAACACTATTTCATGAACTTTGCAAGGCCTTATTATTTCAATAACACTAACATAAGGATCAGGTGTTTGCCAAACGATTAATGAACGCAAACCTCGAAATAGCATGCCGAATAATAGCACTTATATCGACGCCAATGAGCGATGAACTGCGGTCGACACTGTTATCTGTGTTTCTCGAAAGTTCAAATTAAATGTCAGTTAATCTTGTCTGCTTGAGTGCGGGCTCGCTCACATGCAGGGATCCTGTAGACAAAACTGTTGAAAATAATGCCTGTTAACCTTGTTTGTTTAGACAAGCAAATCATCATAGTGTCAGTCAACTTGTTACTCGTCTTTAATTTTGCTTATCAGCCGCAGTTACAAGTCGATCCGTTCAACTGAGAAGAAAATACTACACTGTGGCGACGTTCCCTTAGGCAGTGCAAAGAAAAGTTGCTCTTGTTTCGACCCCATCAATCAAAAACCGACCCCTGCCTAGAGCATATGAAATCGAGCCCGTTTTCATGCTGAATTGATCCAAATTTAGTGGATCAAATCTCAACTATTCGTTTTCTTTTGTTTGCATAACGTTTAAAGTGATAGAGGATACTTGTCACATCTACGTGTTTAATCGCGAATATTTACATTGCCACCTTTGGGTTCCAATTTTCGCAAGCACCAACAAATGTAACGACCCTTTGAGCTTTCTCTCTCTCTATTTTGAAGAAAATGTCGTCAATTATGTGGGGGTCACGCAGTTTTGAAACCTCGATTTCTGTGAATATTAATTCACGTTTATAGTAAACGCACATCAGGTAGGCCATAGTGATCTATTGTTTCGATTCAAAACACGAATAATACTTCATCAACTGGTACATGAAATCCAAATTGAATATTAATGGTGGTCGATTGCTTGCGCAAACTATTGGCTACTCTGGCGAATAAGACTACGGAGCTTCTAAATTGTTTTGATAAACTCTAAGTCTGTCGTCAATAACCCGTGTAAATTGAAGTCTAAACAATAGAAGTGTTTACAAACATAAGTTCCTGCACTTAAGGAGTTTCATTCACTGCCTCTAGAGAGATTATTTAGGATATCTTCGTGGCGTGTAATGAATTCAATTTTGTATTGGCCCGAGAGAAATAAATTTTCCGCACTATTAGTGACTGTTATATGGTATTTTTATCCCGTTATTTTAAATTGGTCAGCTTTCTAAAAAAAAATTCTGATAGATACACTGCTGCTGCTGAGAACACTTCGGATCGTAGCTAACAGGTTTTTCTCTTTCGCTGCTGGAATTGGAACAACATCGCGTATTTAAATGACTTCCTTAGTGCATATCAGTATATTCCTTTACTTTTGTGCAGCGTATATTTGCAGCTGCCTCTAATGATTCTTCTAAACTTTAAACAGTGAAAACTTGATATCAAGCTGAAATATGTAGCGATAAACATAGCGCATTAATTGTTTCCGGAAATCCGTCCTGCTCGTGAAAAAATCTAGAAACAGTTATTCCGCTAAGACCCACCTCTGTACTTAACTGCTTTAAATGGTATGCACCCACCGCGTCAATGTCTAAATCGAGGAATTCAGCGTCTAATCGAATCTCTCTCTCTTCTATAGCTCATTAAATAAATCCAACACAAGATGTTAATATATTATTAACAGCCACACAATGGAAGCAACAGCTCCACCATCGACAAAGTTCAAGGTCTCTCCGCCTAACAGTTAGTTAATAAGTACCCGCCAATGAATAAAAATCTTCGCCACCGAGGATGTGACTGGAAATATTGTGTTGGGTGCAGACTTCCGACCTGTCAAATCACAGGAGGACAAGGGTTTATTTGTATAGAAGCCCCACCAGGAGCAAGCTGTGACGGAGAGCCACTCAGGCAATTCTTAACCAATAACAGCATATCGTTTTGAAAAAAATGTCTTTCATGTTTGAAGGGCTTCGTGCGGTGTCAAAGTATTTCAACGCCTTATCAGATGTGCATGAAGCAGAAATAGAATTCCTGCCTTCCTGTGACCTACCAACGCAACTTCCCATGAGGTATCCTTTTACTGGTATGAGGCAGATTACGTTTACTTTCTTCCTTTCACCCCAATAACATTATTTCGTTGAGTTATTCTTTATTTTAACACTGAGAGTGTCATTTTAATGTAAAATGGCAGAAGATGATATCAGAAACACTTGCACTCAAAAACTCTGATCCTGTTTTTCCAAGCCATTTGTTACAGAAAATTGAATTTGACATCTAAATGAACATCTAACTTGATTCGACGTGGGTGATCTGTCTCAAGGTTTATGACTTAATAATAGATGTTCTTAAACGATAGCAATGTTATCCAGTCTGTGTTGATTTATTTATTTTGTCTCGTTTTGTTAACTTTGGCGAGTGCGCAATCTTGATTAGCTGTTAGCAATAGATTTATCATCTCCCTGGGTGCGTTACAAATCCTGGCAAAGTGAAAATGAGGTGCTGATATCTCAGCTAATGTTCTACTTCCTCAGTATTATCTTTGCTGATAGGAGGTGTGTTTTAACTTATCAGCAAATTGAGTTTGTTTATACAGCAACTTCTTATTACATCAATGGGTGTCTGACATGAAGAACTGATCCTATCGTGTCACATTTATCTCACAAGGTTAGCGATTAGCGTCAAGGGTATATTTCCTGTGCCAGTTGTGTCAAGCGCTTGTTTTGGCTTCCATTTCTGTTGAACGATCTCCATTGTTTTCATTTCGAAATTCCGCTTGATAAGCCATTGAGTCAAATGTTATCTTTCTCTAAATTTCAATGTTGATCAACGAAAAGAAAATCATCAAAACTGTTCATAATGTCTATGGTGTATGTAAAAATAATAAAGAAACAAACAAACAAACGCTTAAAATCCTGTTGAAAATCTTTTTGCCCGATATTCATCTGTGAAAAAAAAGAACCTTCAGTCTATCCGATGACCCGCAGCTTATGGTTTCTTTTCATCTCGCAAGTCCTTCGGTCTAAACAAAACAAATTTATCTTCCCTGCTATCTTCTCTTCAATTCCCAGATAAGACAAATGTTGTGACTTTACTCTCTCTCTCTCCCTCTTATGTTAACGTTCCATCATCTCAAAAAAAAGTTAGAGATAAATTGCCCTTAATATTTTAAAAGCGAACTGTTGTTATTCGGTGTCAAAGAAATGACATAATTTGTTGAGATATTTTATGCAGGCGAGTTGTTCGGCGTTTGCTTTCAAAAAGGAAAAGGCTCAGAGGCGATTAAAAGTGCGTAACCTAATTTGTGCAACCTAACATGTGAGAAGTAGACGACATTTTCACGAGTCCTACATTCACCCAGTCCCCTTCGAAGTTTCCGGTTAAGATATGAGGAATTATAGACCTGAATTTCGATGTATCTTGATAACGGTTTCCAGGAAATTCTGTCAATTCCTTGGCTCAGTTTTGTCAGTAAGACAATACTTCGAGAAAGCGCAAGATAAATTTGTTCTTCAAACAATTAAAACTGTCATATACGATTACAACACAATCATATGATTCCACCATTGCACACAATCGTTATCTGTTTCTCGACAAGAGGCGTTCCCCGATTGTTCTCCTGAAATTGCGACTCGTCACACTTTTTCCCACGGTAAAAAAATTTAATAGCTGGTACATGAGAGTGACAATTGGCACATCAAATAAATGAAATTAATTTTCCACCATAAAGCCTTGATTACCAAGAGAAAGGGTTTTAATGGAAGTGTTAATAAAGCTTTCGTAAAGAACTAATTTTCCACCCAAAACCAGTTCTTGAGAAAGCTAAATAATTCGACTGCTACTGTAAATCACACTTTCGTTTTGAGCACTACGGGTAATGAAGAAACAAGAACTACTTCACTCGAACAATGCGAAAACAAAGGCACTTGCCAAGCCATAGAGCTTCAATTCTTGTACGCTCATTATCCTTACTAATCCCCCAAATGCCATCTTTAGATTAAAAATGCTACCAAAAGCACGCGTTGAAAAAATCTAAACAGGTGACTCTGGCGCGACGTAACAGGTGTGTTGCGTGGATCAATAGCTTCACTGCTGCGAAGTTCACTATGAAAGCAGTATTATGCAATAGCATTTATGAACACGCAACTCCTGCACTGCCTATGAGGTCCTCTCAGTTCTGTTATAGAGTCAAGAAGTAAGCAGTTAGTTTTTGCGGCAATTCTACTAGCGAGCGTTTGCAGTTTACCGAGCTTTTTTTGTCCTCTGGTTTTCATTTGGAATTCGAACGTGCTCAAAGAAAGATAACACTGAATTCTCTCACAGGTTATATGAATGAATTTACGCTAATCTCTCAAGTGGCCCCTCGTGTAGAAAATTCAGTCTGTTTCATGGCATATTTTTATTCTTTTAGTGAAGTTTCCACCTTTGTTTTGTCGCCAAAAGCTTGTGGTTTTTATCTGTTTACTAGGCCATTCATGAATCAAGTTTGTTTTTTTTAATAACTTAATACTCTTCTGGTTTTAAATCATCTGCAAAACTGTATTGGTTTTTTAATTAAACAAAGCGTACTTGATACTTATAACTTTTGCGCATTATTTAGCGAGATTCTTCAAGGTTTTTGAGACATGTTCTTCAGCGCTAATTGACAATAATATCTCTTTTCCAGGTGAAGTGCTTTGTAAATCATTTATTAGCTCATGAACAGTAAATCCGTAAAACCAGCGAGCGGGTAGACATATGCCCGAAGCCAATGGCTTCACGAATTTACAAATTTGTTATGATTTTAGCGATACGTCATTCGGTAAATAAAAATTTTGCCGCGGTCTACTATCAAGAACGTTTGGGGCATATCACTAAAGTATATTTGTCGTATTTACTACTACAAATCGTTCACCTACATTTTCGTAATGCGATCACAATACCCAAAGTTTCCGTTTGATGTTGGCACCGGCCATTTTAATCTACGAAACAACATGCTTCCATTTCTTCCTCGTGTATCAGTTCAACTGGTTAAACTGATGAAAATGTGAGGTCTCGTTTACTCGAGATCAAGCTTTATACGTTTGTGTAGCATTGCACTTGCAGCGTCAATGGATTAGAATGTTTGAAAACAACGAGAGTTTTTCTCAAATATTTCTCGTTAGGGCCTAGGGTAGATTAAACTGTTTTCCAATATATATGAGTAAATAGAATCCGCAACGGGAAAATATCTTCACTCTATTTACTTTAAAAAGGTAAACAATCGGAAATGATGGCAAATAACAACTTTTCCTTTCGAGAAAACATTGAGAATTTGTACAAATAATTACCACTGAACTTACCAGGGAAGTTCTCCTAGGTTTGGACTTCGCCGTCGAGAAGGCAAGCAGAAGTGTCAGACGAATAGGCACTTTGCCTCCTTAAATCAAAGTTGATTAAATATTTATACTTTTGAAATATTTGATATCGTTTTAAAGGTATTTTATTTGTACAAACATTCATGCAATATTCAGAAGCTGTCACCGCGTCCTCCCATGACTTATGTAAACATAATGCAAAATTAACCTTCAAGACAGGGATTCTTTTCAAATTGATTTTCTCCATTTCTGTGAAGACAAAAGCCAACGGTTGGATTTGCATCGATAAATGCACTTGTTTGCCATGTGTGTATTTACCTTTTAATCCGCCCAAACGAAATTTTTTGCCAAAGTTAGGTTGCCACTGCAAAAAAAGTTTACAAGTTATGAAATAACATGTTGGAAAAGTGAGATATTTCAATTGTCTCTAAGTCAATCTCCTTTTCATGCATCTGTGAAGAAAAAAGCACAAAGTACCTGTATGTTTCAAGCTGTGTTTTTCCATGTGGAAACTTTTCAGTTGTCTTTGTTAATAAACGCAAGAGCTCCTCGCAAAAACAAGGATTCTGTTCACTTAGGTGTCCGACCTTTCTACAAACTTTGTAACTTTGTCGTACGGCGATTGTACTTTCAAACCGCTAAAAACAGAGAGAACCATTACTTTTCGAGTATTTCACGCTGAGTTAACCAAATTGCAAGTTTTAACGATGGCTGGTTGTTTATATTTCTATTTTCGATCCATCTCGTGGTTTCTTCACCGTGTATACAATATTAATTTGGTTTTTGTCTGCAGGTGTCTGCTTTCTAGGAGCCCGTTTTCCAGGATTAACATTCTTTTTCGCCGCTAAACTGTGTATTTTCGATACAATGAGCTTCGGTGACCTTGCATCCATCTGTTGATAATTTAAGAACAATATCTTAAGATCTATGGGAGCAGCGCTATCCAGTAACTTGTGTGACATCTAATTTTATGGTTGTTTAGTCCTGAAATTGCAGAATCCAAATAAATCTGTTGCTTACAACAAATGGTGTATATCTTGAACTTTCCTTAGGAGGTTCAATTATGGTTTCAGAGATATATATATTTTTATTACTTGTTTTTCTAAACTCACTTACAATCAAGCATCAGCAGTGACAGGATTGCGGTTACAATTGATGGCGTTGTCTACATTTTTATCTGAACATATAGCATATTTTCAGAGAAACGAAAAAATTGCAAGTTTATTCTTAAAATTCCTTCCCACCTTTTATGTGATGAGCCTTGGTTGACGTGTTGTTTGTCATCGGCAATAAGTTCCTGCTCATTTTTTTGAAAACAACTGGAATATAGTTTTCATCAAAACCTAAAAGTTTACCCTTGGTTTATGACATTTATGCAATCAGGAGAGATGTTTCTAAATTGTTTGTTTTCAAAACTTATGCTGTTAGATTTAAGGACAATTTAGTATCCTGGAGCTTGCCTTTAGACTAAACTGAGCAATTTTCTCTGTCATCTAACCTCTTGCTTTTAGTTCGTTTGTTTCGTGCAAACATGGGCAGTGTTGTGGATCGGTATTTGAAAAAGGTGAGTTGATGAAATCCAAGGAACGATTGGCGTTCTTTCCAATATTTTTTTTATGTTATCGAACTCTTATCAAGATTTCACGGAGTAATCCTGCATTTTATTATTTTGATTGAAATCTCAAGCTTATTGATAGCACTCCAACTTTGGTGGAGCTAGATTTGGAAAACATTCACTGTTTATCGCTCTCTGAGTTTATCGTAATTTTTATACTTAGAATTAGCTGACAACTAGTCTTGTGAGAAACACAACGTTTCAGAAATTTCCGCACAAAACTTTTTTTTTTGAAAAGGCGTGTTAGGCACAGTTTAGTCAGCGCTGTCTTTTTGAAAAAGGGTTGGTCAACCGAAATTGTACAAGCAATGAGATATCCGGTTGGACAACGCATAGTCTTGATAAACGGTTCCTTACACATGTGGGATTAAATCAAGGAACTACTCGTGGTCATTTTTCAATTGACCTATACTGCACTGTTGTTGTTTATTTTTGGAGCAAAAAGGGAGGAAATGTTTTGAAAACTATCCATGCAACCTGTCCATTGTGTTGCCATTTTCCACGATGTTTTCTTTTCTCAGTAAGAATAACTGAGCAGTGAAGGCATGCAACTTTTATAGGAAACGTGCTTTTGATTGATAAGAAAGGCACTTATTACTTCTCAAGGCATTACCTCGCCACTCTCCAAAGTTTTTTTCCAACTGATTCACAAATTTCCATCTTCGTTATTGATTGCTTTACTGCAAATAAGCATTTGGAACTTGTTTCAATTTGTGTTTTGTAAATTTCTACTTCTTAAGACAAAACATTTTCAGAATTTTCTAAAACGAGAAGTTCGAGTAATTTCATGTTTTCCTCATGTTCTTTAGTTTCCATGCACGCCTAAATCTACTTAAGATTGCAAATGACGTAAAATTTTTTTTTCGCGAAATGGTCGCTATTATGGTCCAGTTATTATTTGAAGGTAACTTCCAATGAATAAATTTTTGTTTTTCTGCCTTCGGTGCGCATCAACTGAAGCTGGTTTGGTTGTTTAAGACTATCAAAGACATATTAAGACGTTAAATTATGTTATCAGAACTAAAGAATTTTGCCTTCAGAATTCAGCCGTTGAAACTGCAGCGGTTGTTTGCTGGTTGTTTGATCATGAGAGCGACATGTTTTTGTGGCAATTGTGGCTAGAATGTTCTCAGGAAAAGGTGAATGCTTAAAGGAACGAGGGCCAATATTCTTTTGTCTCCCGACTAAAGCCTCATACTGTCAGGTATTGTTTCTATTGGTAGTTAATATTTTTTCCTGTTCTCTTCTCAGGAACGAAAGACTTATTTCCGATGCAATATGGATCGCTCTGAAATAAAATGAACAGCCTTTCCAAAGATGACCTAGCGAAGAAATTCAAGAGAGTTTATCTGTTTCAGTCAGGGATTTTGAAGATTTGCTCTGCCATGTGAGGTGTTTTGATTTGCATTGTTTACCTAAACGCTCGCTAAATTGAATTAGATTCCAAAATGCACGAAGAAGTACCTTAAACTACTTTTCGTTTTATTCTTAAGGTGAATCATTCCGACTTACTCTCAAAAGCTTGTATTCCTACCTTTAAATAATAAACTTTTCATTGTAGAAAAATAACGAACGTGTTTATCATTTATTTTTTGTTTTTATGTAAGTTTAGTTTTTGTTCTTTGTCGTGGTTTGGGCAGAGTTTCCACAATGTCTTTGCTGTCCACATTAGCTCGTCATTTTGTGGTTCATGTTTTTGTTCTCGATTTGAAATTCACTGTTTTGAAACGTTCCTTTCTTTCGACGCTGGTCTCCTTCACAATAAATAAATTGTGAATAGAAGAGTTATTTATCATTTAGATTCTTAAGACTTCTTTGGAGCCAGTCGTTTCAAAATTGTCACAATATGAAATAGCAGTTTCCAAAACAAACAATTTTGAGTCGGGCTGGTTCTAGCCAAAGTGTGGTACATGAAGAATTGGAACACTAGTGTTGTCAGTGAAGCGTTTTCGAAGGGCCATATTTCATGCTCTTCAGTAACCCCTCCCTTTTCTTACCTTGAACTGTTCACCACTTTTCTTTCCTCAGCCGTCAATGACGGTAATCAAGGTTGTTTCAGATATAATGTTACAGCAAGCGAGGAAGAAGTAGGTCGTTATAGGGTCTTATAGCCATTTTAAGGGCAATTTTGGTTAAATTTCGAAGGCTATTTGCACTTTGGGCGACAAACAGGTGAGAATGTATTGTTACACCACTGACACAAAGTCTTGCCATGGAAGACGGAGTAGAAATACCTACTAACTTAAGAATTCTAACCTAACATGATAGACTTATTAATCAAGCTCTTAGTTTCTATTCGCCGTTTCCCACCTGCGATTAAAGATTCCTTGATATCTTTCTCAATAACCCACAAACGGCAAAGCATCGATTTGGTATTTTTTGGTTTATTTTTACTGAAAATAGGACAGATTTTCTAATTTAACACAAGTGGAGACCAAGTTAAGACTAGCTTAGGTCTTGTGCATCTCTACATCTTAGGTTGTTTTCAAAATTTTGAAAACAAAACAGCAACGATTTTGTGTTCCAAATGGCTACGAAGCCAAAAGCTGATACTAAAAAAGAGTAAAATAGTTTTTTATTTACAATTTTTTTCGACGAAAAACAATGCTAGCTAAACTTAAAAACTGCCTGTTTTGTGTTACTGTGGTGCAACTATTCACTATTAGAGTACAACGAAAAAACCGAACGTTTCTAACTTAAAGAGGCTCTAGGCGAGTCTCCACGAAAATGAATAAGGTTCTTAAGGCCACATTAATTTGCTCGAATTTCTTGACTTTACTCGCGCTCGTTCGTTTTCTTTTTCCTGTGAGGTGTTTACGTTAAAGTAAGTTTGGGTCAAAAGAAAATTTGTCTAAACTAATAATAATTTAAAAATAAACAAAGATTAAGAGCATATTGTGGTGATAGTTGGACGTTACAAACGCTCTTCAGTTTTAATTTTTCAGTTTCAACTGGCGCAAACTAAGAGCGAGGAGCTATATCGCTTTTTACGTGAGTAGCTAAAGGGTATGAACGTCTACAGAGATATGAATGTTCTGGTCAAAGCTCTTTTCCGGCAGTATTATATGGGTCTGCTCCTATAGGTAACGCCCTCTATAACTTTATTTTTAAAGCTAGTTGGACGGAAGGCGATTGCACTCCAATGTTGAATTTGTCGGCTCATTTTTGTCGCTTCCTGTGTGTTAGAAAATAATCCCCTAGAATGGACCTGCTGTAGAGAAGTGCAATCAACACCTGCGAGCTTTAGATTCTCAAAAGTAATTAATTAAGTCCATTGTTTGGCTTGTCTAGTTACTTGAGAGGTACTTTATGTAATAATCTTTTCGTCTAGCTATACAGCCTGTCTCTGTCTGTCTTTTGTAGTGCAGTTTTCTCACAGAGATTGGCCAGGCTTTGGTCATGAAACTTCAGAGCTCACAAAATATAATGATGGCACTTTGCACAGTACTCCCAACTAGTGTTAATACTAGCATTAATTAAGGTGGATTTTTGTAACCTGTTGATTTTTCTCAACACTCGAATTAAAATGCGTTCTACGACAAAAAAGCACTCAGGATGCATTTTTAAATAAGTGCTAAATTATTTCTTGTTTTTCTTATCCAAACTTAACGAATGTTGCATTGGAAAATAGCATATTTGACAGTGGTGTCCCTTTCTTTAAATGCTGCCTTCAGCTAAGAAGCACCGAAAAGTTGGCTAATCTTCTTGACTTGGGTGAGTGCTCCTCATTACCCTATCATTTAATTTTCTTTCACTTTAGTTTATATTCTTATTTATTTTTCAATATTTTTCCTTTGTAAACTTACCCACCCGAGGCCACACGGTACGTATGGAAAACATTTATTCTTCAATGTATCTCAGTAATGATCATGTTTTCTCAATTTTCTT